TGACCCTGGAGCACAAAACCAGTCTCAAGTCGCTGGGGTATATTTGTAGCAATAGCCAAAAAATACATTGTATGGGTCAAAATTATTGATTTTTCTTTTATGCCAAAAATCATTAGGATATTAAGTAAAAATCATGTTCCATGAAGATATTTTGTCAATTTCCTACTGTAAATATATCAAAACTTAATTTTTGATTAGTCATATGCATTACTAAGAACTTCATTTGGACAACTTTAAAGGCGATTTTCTCAGTATTTAGATTTTTTTGCACCCTCAGATTCAAGATATTCAAAAAGTTGTATCTCGGCCAAATATTGTCCTATCATAACAAACCATACATCAATGGAAAGCTTATTTATTCAGCTTTCAGAGGCTGGTTTTGTGGTCCAGGGTCACAAATATGAAATTAAAAACCTAAACTAAAATTTGAAATGTTGAAACACTAAAATAAAAAATTCAACTAAAACCGAAATAAAAAGAAATATACAAACATAAATATGAATATTTATAAATAAACAAATACAAATAAAAGAAGCTAAAATACAAAATATTAAACTATAATATAATAAAAATATAATCAGTTTCCAAACAGCATTTTATTGTCCAAACTTCCCTAAAAATCTGCACACACTTTTGATCAAACCAGAAACCTCCACAAACAAGAGTTACAAATGCACATTTATGCGTTTCCTCAAATCTGCATGCAGCAGAGCTCATCCAAACACGTCGGCACACACACAAACACGGACACATCGGGCCCATGAGAGCAGCTGCTTCTGATTTTCATGGTATGAAAAGAGAAGTAGCAAAGAAAGAGAGAGAAAGAGAGCTCTTGAATGACTTAATAACGGTTTCCGCTGACCATAATCCCGCTGCTATTTCTGGCCGGTAGATCAGAGAGAAGCACGCGGCAGGAAACATACAGTCCGGCCCGGTTCAGTCCTTTCATCACTCCATCCAGCCATTCAGCTCAATGCCAACATTTATCACTCAGGGCTTGTCAAGTTTGTCTGATGTTTCTTAGAAAATTCAATTATTTTTTTAAGTAAGACTTTTAAATGCAAACTTCTGTGTTTTAGGAAGTCTACGTTTTGATCAGTAAACAGCTCCATCCAGACCAGCACTAACTAACATCATTTTGGTTTCAAACCAGTTTGTCTCATTTAATCACCTTATTTCCATAAATAAAATAAAACAGCACTAGATTTGGTTGCGCTTTGAATGAGGGATTTTCACACAAGCCTGCTTCCTGTCAAACACGTCTCACTTCCTCTTTTCTGCGTTCTGCTTCCTCCTCGTTACGCATTTGCAAGGTGCTCATCTTTCTGTGATTCTCTCTCTCACACACCTTTCTCCCATCTGCACCCATGAAGGGGAAGAGAAACTAAGAGGATCTCAGTGTTTCGGAACGGGAGGTCTGTGTTTTCAGATTGGGAAATGTTTTAAACCACGCATGAAATGCAGAAGTGCTGCTGGGGCCAAACTTAGAGCTGTGATCGGTTGATTTCTCAGAAGATGGCTCTGAATATATACACTACTGTTCAAAAGATTGAAAGAAATTCATATTTCTATTCAGCAAGGATGCATTAAATTAAAAAAAGTGACAGTAAA